AAAACAAATTGTATTCTACTAAAACAAATTGTATTCTACTGAAACAAATTGTATTCTACTAAAACAAATTGTATTCTACTAAAACAAATTGTATTCTACTAAAGCAAATTTTTTTCTACCAAAACAAATTGTATTCTGTTTTAATAATTTGCATTTTTCTAAATCAAATTGTCAAATTTGCATAACTTCTGATAAACTCAAAAGTAAACAGAGAAATGTTATTCAAATTGTTTACTCTTCACTTGTACTTCAATGTTTACTCGTAATGCAATGTTTACTCGGACTTCAATGTTTACTCGTACTTCAATGTTTACTCATACTGCAATGTTTACTCGTACTGCAATGTTTACTCGTACTTCAATGTTTAATTGAACTGCAATGTTTACTCGAACAGCAATGTTTACTCGTACTGCAATGTTTTCTCGAACTGCAATGTTTAATCGTACTGCAATGTTTACTCGTACTTCAATGTTTACTCAAACTGCAATTTTTACTCGTACTGCAATGTTTACTCGTACTGCAATGTTTACTCGAACTGCAATGTTTACTCGAACTGCAATGTTTACTCGTACTGCAATGTTTACTCGAACTGAAATGTTTACTCTTACTGCAATGTTTACTCGAACTGCAATGTTTACTCGTACTTCAATGTTTGCTCGGACTGCAATGTTTACTCGAACTGCAAGGTTTACTCGAACTGCAATGTTTACTCGTACTGCAATGTTTACTCGAACTTCAAGGTTTACTCAAACTGTAAGTTATCTCCTCCTCCCCCTAATACCTCCTCCTCTCCTAAATATCTCCTCCATCCCCTACCCCTAATATCTCTCTCCGCCCCTAATATCTCCTCCTTCCCACCTGACCGGGTTGTTGCAATGGCAAAATAACTGCCTACCTACCTTATACCTTCTGTGTCCCTTAATTCTTTCCTAACTGCTCTATTAGATAATCAGCTTTCCTGCTCCAGATAATTACATCTATATATACATTTATTTCTAGTTCAAAGAATTAACTACTGAGGATCGTCATGAGGAGCGAAACATTATGTTTAGCATAATTCTTTTCTAATAAAATGTGAAGTTTAAAAACTGAAATATTTATACATTTTTATATAATATATATATTATTATCATTATTATATATATATATACAGATAAACAGCCTGAGCTGAAAACTTTAGAATGATGGATATCAAGATTAATGCTTAAACTCCTGGTTTTACTAAACCCGAGATTATTTTAATACACATTCGATATCCAAGAAAAAAGTATAAAAATCAACCAATCAGCGTATTATGTTAAGATGTACTCTTTAACTTTTGAAAGCCGTTTTTTTCTGGTGTTAATCGTGTCATATCAATTGAACTAAACATCGATTAAATAAATGTAAGTTTTGGTTTAATGTTTGTCAAGACTCGTTTAAAATGCTGATAGTCCTAAAATGTGATAAAATATATTTTTTAATAGCTGTTCATATTAACATGATTAAATTTATATTTGCTTAAGTGCTCTAAAAGCCGACTTTTGCACAGCTGATTTTAATTCAATCGGATATTAGTTCAATTGGTATAGCATTGTATCTGTAATTGTTATCAAACGTAACTTTTTTACAGTAGGGATATCCAAAAAAGAGGATAAAGAATAAAATTAAGTGTGTACATTGGATTCCCAGATTAAGCGATCAGGATTAAGGATATCTAAAGTTTTCAGCTCTGTTTGTATTCGAATACGAATTCGAAATTACGGTTCAAATTCAGTTTCCCTCACCCCGGACTAACCAGGGCGAGATGCATCGGTTTCATCTGTTTTAATTCAACCATGTGTTGGTCTATAATTATACAATCTTTAAATTTTTAGTCTTTTTAGTTGTCGTTTAACTTGTTGTTTTTAGTTGTCATTTAATTTGTTGTCTTTTTATTGATCGTTTAAGTTTTAACCTGTTGTCTTTTTAGTTGCCATTTAACTTGTTGTTTCTAGTTGTCGTTTAACTTGCTGTTTTTAGTTGTCGTTTAACTTAGTGTTTTTAGTTGTCTTTTAATACTTTTTCGTTTAAAACGCAAATTCCGACAAAAAATTGAGTAAGAAAAATGCGATTGTTTTTTTCTTCTTAAGGTCAAATTGGGATCGAAAGTCACAGTTCTCTGGGAAAGAACCAAACCGTTAAATCCACGTGCCCTGAGAAGGAAAAGA